TACATTGTATGGGTGACAGGGCCTTCTCCTGCTATGCCCCCAAGCTCTGGAACTCTTTGCCCAAGGATATCAGAGAGTCACATTCTCTAAACACCTTCAAATCCAGACTCAAAACCTTCTTCTTCAGAAAAGCCTTTATTTAACTGGTTCCATTCTTCACTCCTGTTCTTCTAAGTACCACCTTCCATGGTCTCCTCTATTGTTATTGTTGTAATTGTAATTGTATCTTATCTTGTGTATTCTTCTTATTTATTGTTGCAGTCTTCTTATTTATTGTTATTGTCATCCTTTAAAGCGCTTTGAGACGCTACCTTTAAAGGCGCTATATAAAATAAAGTTTATTATTATTATTATTAAATACTTATGAAATCATGATGTTTCCATTTTTCTTTCATATGAATTTTCAATTGACTCATTTTTGTTTCCTGCTTTGTGTGGAGAACTTTGTTGATATAGCAAAAATAAATGTTACACAAAGTGCAAGCTTTAAAACAACAAGGGTCTGAATACTTTTGTATGGCACTTTAGAGAAACACTTCAGAATCTAATAATACTCCTTAAACCTCCAATTGTCCTTTCTTAAATATGGTATTGCTGTAAAAACAGTTTTGGACTAGAGAATCTGTAAAGAAAATCTACTCTTTGAAATGGTATTTAATTAAAACAGAGTACCTACCTGAGAAGTGCTGTTCACCTTTAGGGTTTCACAGTGAGAAGCAGTAAAAGGATTCTGAAATCTGAAAAACCCGGTGACTCCCGTCAGTGTTTTTTTGACAATACTGACAGCTCCATCTAGGCAGAAAGGATTAAACATTACAAGACACCACATGTCAAAACTGGAGCATACTCACTTTTACTTGTGAGATTTGTTAGGCACAAAAAAAAGAGAACATTCTGTTTAGAATAAGTTGTTCAATATGCATTAACTGCTTAATAGAAAAGAGCAAACCTTTGCATCCATCCATTTTATTATTCAGGTTTAGGGAGTTTAATGATTTACATTCCAAATAGACAAGTTGATTTATTATAATCGTAACTGAACAAAACATGTTGCTGAAACGTTAATGCAAAGATACTTTTTTTATATAGGGTAGAAAATTGTTTCTGGGCACAAGTCCATAAATAGGGTGATCAGATTTAATTACAGGCGTTATTAGGCCCAACTAAATTCGTTTTTAGCATATGAATTAATTTCCCCAACAAGCAAAAAAAGAAAACAAATCTAGAGATCAGAGCTGCACTGACAATTTCACCAGGGAGAGACAAGCCTGAAAAATACCTCTTCTGGGTCTTTTGATCCCCGAACATTCAGTCTGGGTGTCTGATGTCTGGATGCTGGGAGGGGGAAAACACAGAGGCCATTTTAAAACCTGGAATAAAAGTTATTCCTCACTAAACTCGATGCTGTGGCAAACTAAGTAAGGTGCCATACCTGTACATTTCACCAGTACAAATACATGTCCTGCAACAGCAAGAACACTGTGCCAGACAGCCAGATGAAAACAGCTTTTATGGGAAAACCTTAAAAGGTTTTAGGTGGATACATTACGACCCTAAGAGAGGCAGGCTAAAATGTCAAGTTTATTTTTTCAAACGTTTATTCGTGATTCAGCTATTTGACAAACGGAATTAATACAATAGTTAAAAATTGTATTCTCTGCCAAACAAATTCTAGCACCGATACAACTACGGGTAACGAGCTATCAATGCGTAAAGTTGCAATTTAACTTCACTAGCAAAGACAATTGGAAAGCAAAACGTCTTGAAGTAAACTCCACGACACTGTCTAAGTTACGGTTTTTAAAACGCCGAAACAAACTTGGCATGACTCGAACAAATACGTGTTCGACACACTATTTCATTTCATTAACCATTATTGTTTCTCGTTATTCTTATCAAACTGCCACTTGACTTCGAAACAAAACATGTCAATAAAGAAAAAGTTAACGAGGCACTGGTCTGCACACCCGTCCCCCGTCGCTCAAACCTGCAACACACCGACCTCTGGTAATTTCTCTTAGCGGGGCTGACGCGGCTCTGCAGCCGAGGAGCGGCGGCGGAACTCGGCGGGGTCTCGGTGCCGGGCGGACTCCGCGTCCTTTGCCGGGAACGTGGAACAAAGAACGACGTGATGCCGTTAACTATCCATTCATACATATCAGAAAACCGCGACAACAAGGCCGCCTGTCCGTCTGTCACTGTCAGGGCCAGGTCTGAAGGGTGCTGGGTTGACCAGCCTCCGAACAGGGACACCAATTCGCGTCACGACCGTCTCATGGTAATACGTCTGAAAAACTGAAATAAACTACCTGGTTGGTTAAGCAAAACATTAAGATTTTACATCCTGGGGTTTCATTGGCTAACTGAACGACAACAATACGTCAAACACGCACTTCTCAATTTGCAGTACTAAACCCAGCCTTCTCAGTTCAGCACGGACCAAAACACAATAAGGCCGAACCTCGTTGATGCGCATGCGTACCAGCAAGCGAGTGACCGAGCATAGCAATGCAAGGGTGGACATCCGCACCGCGGGAAGTATTCAGTTTGTGAAAATGCACTGCAAGGGTACAGATGTGTTTTGACATTTAATTATATGTAGTTCTACAAACACTGTGAGTGATGTTTTATAGTGTTGCAGGTAAAACTCACAACGTGTGTTTTATTCAAGCTTTCAACGAGGCTGAAGCTAATTTGCATCGCACTGTGTGTTTTATTTACCCACCAATTATTCCGTTTCGGAGCTGTCAGAGAAATCTGTTTTTGCGAATATTATTTCCTGTTTAATAATATAAACTTTTAATCAAATAACAATTATATTTAACGTTTTAGCTTATTATATAAAACAATCGTACACACCAAGTTCATACAACTTCAGTCTAGTCCTACAATTACATTAATAATTACAATTACACCAATTATAAACTGAACTGTGTTTACAGTTAATACATTACACTTTATAATTAAGAATGCAAAACAACAGCAGAAAGCAGAACCATGAAAAACAGACTTATCAGTCCTCTCCGCGTATACGTAGTGTATTTGTACATAAACGGTATATTACGTATTGGACAGTTACATGTCAGGCTGATATACCATTACATTATATGTGTAAAATCTCGGATTTTCTTCTGCGGTCAACTGTCAAAACGTAAACTTTTTAGATAACAGAGTCGATACAGTTGCGCGAATACAATGAAGTAGGTAGGTGTTTATTTTGAACACTCAATGAAGTAGGTTTATTTTGTGGTGTGTTTTTCAAATAAACACTTCATTTTTATAAATAGCCCTGTATAATTTGTTAATTAATATTCGCAAATTAAATAATATTCGCAAATTGTCATGTCAAGTTGTTTTTTTTACAATTTTCATTATCACACATGATTAGATCTTACAGCTATATACTTATACAGCTTGTTACAGTTTTCAAAACTGATCTGTTTTGATATTCTTCTCCAGGGAACTAAAAAGGAATGTATATACTTTTTAATTAATGAAGTTCACTAATGTTTATCAATCCTTTTTTTAAGTAATACCAAGAGACTTTTTATTTTCTGCCTCTCGACTTCTTCTCACCTCCTCATGCTGTATTTCTGTGATGAGAAGCTTTGGGGGGACAGAACAGGAAACCCTTTTTGCCACAAAGTCGAATTTGTTTAAAACAATTTAAAGTCAATTTAGTTTAAAGACCAGGCTTAAGGATTTGTTATATAGTTTTTCAGTCGTACCCTCATTAACAGCATATCACGCTCTTTTTGCGTCTGCATCAAGCTAGCCTTAACAGGTTCAATCACTCGTAATTGTGTTCTTCACACTAAAAACTAATTTGCGACGTATTACAGTACTATGCGATGCAAAACATTTATACAGTCATATACACTCCATTATTTTCTTTATTTCATGAACGTTGCTTATGTTTCTATTAAAACACTTAATGTAGCCCACACTACAATACATGAACAGAAAGGTAAAAATGTGGAAAATGTTAAGTTGAACAACTGCCAGTTAGCTATCTCTCAGGACAACACACTTCTCACAGATCATGCTAGTGCCTTTAGGTACACCTCATTATTTTGTTAACTAATTAATTCCTTAACCTTATACAGCACTTTTCTGGACACACTACTCAAAGCACTTTACAGGTAACGGGGACTCCCCTCAACCACCACCAATGTGCAGCCCCACCTGGATGATGCAACGTCAGCCATAGTACGCCAGAATGCTCACCACACACCAGCTATCAGCAGGGAGGAGAACAGAGTTCTGAAGCCAATTCATAAATGGGGATTATTAGGAGGCCATGATTGGTAAAGGCCAATGTGAACTTTGGCCAGGATGCCAGAGTAACACCCCTACTCTTTTCAAGAAACACACTGGGTTTTTTAATGACCACAGAGAGTTAGGACCTCGGTTTTAAGTCTCATCCGAAGGACGGTGCCCGTTTACAGTATAGTGTCTCCGTCACTATAATGGGGCATTAGAACCAAAACAGACTGCAAGACACCTCTTCCAGCAGCAACCTTAGTTTTTCCCAGGTGGTCTCTCATCCAGGTACTGACCAGGCTCACACCTACTTAGCTTCAGTGGGTTACCAGTTGTCAGTTGCAGGATTTTATTCTGTTCATCCGCTGGGTGAATAGCCCCTAAACAGATGGAAACCCCATTACAATGGGAAAAGGATAGCTAATGGGATAAATACATTTTCATCAACCACATATCCAGTCTCCTCTTTGCTTATGTCAGCCACCTTAGCAAAATGTCAGTTTAGTACTAAGTAAAATAAGCTGTTACAAAGCCATATAGTGGCACTTATAAAGCAACATTGGCATACTCTAACAGCTATCATAAAACTTGTGCAAAAAATTGTATGCACAAGACATTGATACCCTAACATCAGTGGTGTCCAATCCAATACATTCCCATGGAAACTAGTCACTAGTTACTACTATACCTGCCATCACTGTTAATTTAATTGTCCCATACAAACATGATACTCACAATGCCAGCTTTATCTGCATTGAATTTTACTGCCATACACAGCATAGTTTTCAGTGTTGGGCTAGCAGACCTTACAAGCATTCAACATTAAAAGCAGGAATGCATCAGCTGTGAAAAGGTAGGAGAAAGTGTAAAAAAACTGGTGTCGGGCCGGAGGTGTGAGGGCTATACTGACACGAAGTTTGCATAGAATGGCTAGTGTCTCTGTAAGGATGGTACATTCCGTGTCTTTCCTTGTTCTGGGGCTTCCCATAGATCAAAGGTCCTCCTTGTGCAGTTACCTGACAGTTCAAGGTGACGTGTGATTGTGAGACAGGTCTAACTGGACTTTAGACTGAGATAAATACGCACTGCAGCATTAATCGTGGTCATCTGCATGACTTGATCAATGATCCCCAAGCAGTTAGCTCTGCCCACTTCCAAGACATCAAAGGGAGACTTCCACTTGCCTGAGAATGTGACCTGGTAGGAGGAGCTTCAAACACCCCAGTCATTAGGACTCATGGGGCACACAGACAGAAGAAACTAAAGTAAAACCGTTCGTACCACAGCACACAGGTAAGGACTCAGGCACTAAGGATTCTAGTAGAGAATTAGAGGAAGGCTCCAGCATCATCTTCCTCTCCCCTACCGAAGCTAGATTCAGAGCAAAACAGGGTGGGAAGGCACATAAGAGACCACATTGTCCAGTATGGCCAAGACTGAGGAGATATCAAAAACTACAAATAGTTTCTTCTGTCTGTGGTGGAAGAAAGCATGCCAGCTCACCAACTGGAGTTGGTTTTAGAGAGCAGAGATGTTGGACTGCTCCTCTGGGAAATTTGGGTTTTGGTAAGTGGGATGCATGGGGATCTTTTACTGTTCTGTGAGTATGTGCCTCTTTTGATTAAGTTGTGTTATGTATTCTGTGTATTGGGTAGGCAGTTATAGAATCTGTCGCATCGCAGGTCCTGTGTGATGAATAGATTGATAATAAAGTATTAAAAAGTGTAATTATGTATGACACCTGTTCTGTGCAGATCTTTGGGTGTACTGATGGTTCTGGTAGAATAGAGGAACCTGTTGTGGAGCAAAAACGGTCCTAGTACTCTTAATGTTGCTAGGTGGAGTAGCTAGCAACAAAAGCTGACATTATCCTGCATTTAGGGATCGCGCTCTGTGACAAAAACTTTTTGCAAATATACTGTATGTGTTCCGGTAAAACACATTAAATATAAATTGATTATGTTTGCTATGAAGTATATATGGGTGGCTCTCCAGAACCAGGAATCTCTATGTCATTGTGATAGAGTCTGTCTAGTTCAAAATTTAATACAGGGCAGCTGGAAACCCAATTATTTACCAACAAAGAGCTTAATACAATAAACACTAAGTTGTTTCCTGGTTTAGAGAATACAAACAGAAAACAAAAGACTGTTTATAAAAGGCTTTTAAATTGGTAAAATAATCTACTTCATTTTCTTTTTATTCAGTCTTATAGTGATTTTGTTCCAAACATAAACAGTTACTGTTTCACAAAAAGAAACATATGTTGTTAGAATCGACATTTATTAAAATTTCAAGCACTTTGCAAAAAATCATAAATACAAAAATACATAGCTTACAAAGAAAAGAAAGAAATAGATATAGTTTGTGACAACAGTAGGTGAAACTATTGGAAAGGTCATTCCATATGGATAGATGCACTAAATTAAGGAGAAAACAGTCCTTTAAAATAACATGATATATTAAAGCTTTACTGAAAAGAAGCAAACGTTTCAGGCTAAATATAGCATTATTAAGATAACATATAATAATATGGCTTTTTCTTTCAATAACCCCTTTTAAGAGAAGATTTGTATTCAGAATCATGAAGAATATTTAACGTAAAATCTATTTCAACTTCTAACTACATATATTTTTATACATCTGCATCAACATTCCATGGTTTGCTCAAAGTGATATAATCAGCGACTGAGTTTAAAATGGACAGTCATTTGAATACTGAAACACTCCTTTGCAGCCTTGCACAGGAAAGAAGATGTAGCAACAATCTGCAAGGATCTCAAACAGTCTGGTCCCTTCCTTCTGTATGGATGTCAGCAATGTCCAACCTATACACTCCCAGTCAGATTGCTTAAGGTACTGCCTGAAGATGGATGCAACTTCTTTGTGAAGATAAAATGGATAGTCACCTAAATGCCTGTCAAAATAAGAAGGAAGTGCTATAAACGTAGATCAGAGATCCTAGATTGATCAGCCAAGTGAACTGCGATACATCCACTGCCACTCACAGTAAATATCTGTTTACAGACACTAAACTCAAGCACAACCTCTCCCATTATGGATCACATATACAGTATACTGTCATTAAAATAATTTCTTGCTACACACAGCTTTTTCTGGAAAGGAGAAAACCATCGAGACATGGAACCCCAGAGATTTATTTTTTTGTTTTTCTCTGATCCTTCCTCGATGGTTACACTGTTACTCTACAATACATTAAACTACTTTACATCCACTTACACTAATTTCCTTTTGACATATTTAACTGTATATCCCCATCTGTATAATTTGTGTTTAATGTAGTAAAAACACTATGTGACCAATTGATTTGAAGGGTGCAACACAAAGATAAAATTGAATTGAATCAGCAATTTGTAGACTTTCTTTCAAGAAAATGATCTGCACAAGAAACATGCTGTAACAAAAGGAGGAGAAATACCATCCGAAGTATTTCGGAGTGTAAGAGAAATACATTTCTCTTAAAATAATCACTTCACTGGACACTTCAATAGATAAAAGGCAACTTTTTGTCATTATGTGCAGAGATTTTTAGGAAGCATGCCCATATGGGTAACAAAGGAGAATAAATTGTGGTGAATTTTGGTTAAAAAGTTTCAGCCTTTTAAGAAAGGATTAGATACCCTTCAGCATTACTTTGACAGAAAACATAGGGCAGGTGGCTTTAATGTGTTTGTCTGACAAATGTTCATCAGATATGTTTTTTATTCAATTATTTGACCGATGTCTGAGACATGCAGCTCGCAAAACCATTATGTTACATTAAGAAAAATTCATACATTCACTTTAAAATTTACACAGTGCAGAATATGTAATGAAGTGTAAGACAAATGAACTCTCAGACCCTTAAAAAATAGTTGTTGGCCTAGGCTGCATTGAATACAAATATGGTTTAGCCAGCATAATGAGACATTTTAAAATAGTACCTATCTAGTTCTTAAGCTACTGTTTTTAAAAAGTAATTAAGTAGGTAAGCTCACCTCAAAGGCCCAGTGGGACTCTGTTGTGGAACCCATCCATTGTTACCCTTATAAAGACAACATTTTTTTATTTTCAATTTTCATGAAAGGAAACTTTAAACATATCAGGATCCAGTCTTAGTTCAGTTCTAGAACCAATGTACTGTTTATTATAAAAATAATTGCATTTATTTTACCATGACTAATATTTTTAGTGTTTCACACAAACTTACATTCTTGTTGTAGTCTAAGTGGATTTATTGTGAGGATAGTCATACTTAAAGGGCTGTTTAGATAGATAGATAATACTTTATTAATCCCGTAGGGAAATTGATGTGTTACAGCAGTCCAGTTTATGGGCCATAGCATTCACTATAATTTCATTCCTTATTTGTTGCTTCCAAATGTTGCTTCAGTGGAGATTTGCTAGGTTAAATACTGTAAGTATACCCCCAATAAATGTTTACAGTACCTTCCAACATCAATTGTGAAAGAGTGTGTTAGGGAAGCAACTTGAGAATGCACGTGGCTCAGAAGGACATTGATGAAACCTTTAGTGCAATACTTCACATCCTTGTTTCAGTTTCTGTACCTCACAGATGCTGTGCAGATTCTTACGTGTTAAGAGGTGGGAGTGTAGTGGGGCCCGTCAGGTGATGCACTGATGGTTGGTAACCACCTCCCTGGCCCATGGAATTAGAGGCCACCATAGGTGGCCACATGGGGAAGCTGACAGGTGGAAGCTGTCCAGGAAAAGGTGGGAATTGGAGGGGAGGAGGGGTGTAGTGGTGGTGATGATGAACTGAACTTCCGCGGGGCTTTTCTGACTTCAGGATGATGGGCGAGCCCAAATAACTGTCCTAGAAGATGATGAAGATAATAAAAAATTGAAAAATGCATACATAGGATAGCAGCTGGTAATTAAATCTAATAGATTTCTTCAATTTGCAGTCCACGTAACATGGACAGGATACCAGTCCATTACAGATCTGCCAGGATTATACCCTCTCGCTCTTCTCAGTCCTCGCTCACTGTTGAGATCGACTTTAGTCTTTCTCTTGTGTGCGTACCTTACTGAGCTGACTTCTGAATACCCGACCCAGCTCTTTCTCCGGCTTCATCTTCGTTTCTGTCTAGCAGCGTTTGGATTTAGATACTTTTCTGACCTGACTTCTGGATACCTGACCCAGCTCTGTCTCCGACTTTGACTTTGTCTCTGCCTAGCGTCTTTTGGATTTGTTTACTCTTGACCAGACTCTCCGGAAACCCGACCAAGCCTGCCTACCCCGACCTCGTAATACTGCCTTTCGCTCCTAGGATTTTGGACACCTACTCTCTTAGCACTGCATAGGGTCTGACCACCTTTTCTCACAAGTCCCTAGTGACTTTACTGGCACTGGGATGATAAACAAGCGGTTTCTATATGTTGTCAGCACTGCTGAAGTCTAGTTACTGTAAATAAACAGGCCCTGAATATGCTAATATTCTTGTTTTTAACATTTATAGACCACTTTCCCTCTCTCTTTCACTGAGCTGAGCTGTGACTTCTTGCATCCCTACAATATGATATATTGATAGTTTGCGACTGTACAGCGATTCAAGAAGATCTGTGGCCCCATAGTTTACCAACCAATTGGTTTGACTTTAAAGTTTCAGGGATTGAGAGCTGGTGTCACCAACCTGGTTGGGCTGAGAGAACTGCTGATTGGGAGCAGGTCCAGGGTGTCTACCACCTCCAGTGGGAGAAAATGCCATGGGGGGAATGGCCTTCAGCATCATGTTGTGCATGATAATCTGGTGCATCTGGGCATTCTGCATCAACATTAACTCTACCATATCTAAGAAACAAAAGGCAGTGGGATTTTCTTTTTGTAAAGTATGTAACATTTTCATGGATAGCAATACTGCAATGTACACGTTTTTTTAGTGAATTTAACATGTCAATAAAGTCTTAAAAACATTATTTATTGAAAAATTCACATTTTCCTTATGTATTGCATATATATTACTTCAGTATTATTAATAATTGCAGATGCAAAGTGATTTTCCTCCCAAAGTAGTTTGCATATAGAAGGGATCCCATTAAGGTGTATACCTTTATTAAAATATAAAGATATCATAATTGTTGTATCATGTATCCTTTAAATACAAAATTGGTCCCCCAAACTGTGCTGGGCTTGCAACAATTTGTTGGTATTATCAGTAACATGCTGTCCTCATTCAGACATTTTGTTTTTGTTTTGCTTAACACACTTCTTAAAGTGCAAAAGTCAGAGTATGGGACAACCGGTTTATGTGTCTAATGCATGGTTGGTCCCTACTCATGGTCCTAGAGGGTCAATCTACTGTACCTGCAGGTCTTCTAGTCTCTTTAAAGTGCTAGCTGAAGAACTCCAGGATAAAAGTTAGATAAAACTGGTCTAAGTATCCAATAATGAGTATAAGGCTAGTTATGAACACAGCTGGGCTCAGTAGAAGCACAAGACCTCCAGGCAGGACTAAGAATTTGACGAATCAGACTGATTTTTCATGGCCTTTCATCTACCCAGTTTCTTCTGTGGTTGGCCACCAATGTTTCAAAGTATGTGTTTCAAAACTGGAACAAACAAGTTTCAAATATATTTCAATTTCAAATCTTATGTTATTATGCTTTATAGAGAACTTTGTGAAAATAAACTGATATTTCATTGCTCGAAGAGATTGAACTGCTTTCATTCAATTAGAATTCACAGCTTTTTAAGACATATCCCCATTGAAGACACTGAGAACTGTATGTCAATAAGTCTATTCTAGAAGGCAGCCATTTTCAATAAGCAGATATCCTCTGTCTGTTATACTTAGCAAGCAGCCACTCTACAACTCACAACTGGCGGTGGTGGAGTCCCCATTACCTGTAAAGCACTTTGAGTGGAATGTCCAGAAAAAAGCTATATAAGTGTAAGGAATTATTGTTATTAAACATTTTAAAGCAAATGTTATTCCCAACATTTTAAAATTCATTCTTTTTAAAAACAAAAACATATACAGAATCGCTAAACTCAATGTAGTTTGCATTACATTGCAATCCATTAATTGTGCTCTGATTTAGATGAACACCATATCAAAAACAACAACCCACCTTCTTTTATGCTCCCGGATTTGATTGGTGGTAAAGGTTGTGGAGGTGGGATCTGTGTGATCAGTGGTTGTTGCTGTGGCAACTGTTGGATAATTGTTGCAGGCTGCTGTGGGATCTGGAGTACAGAAACACGTATGGAAAAACAGCTTCCAGATTATGAAGTGTTCCTAAGAAGAGCATAACCTCAGTACACATTAGTATACTGTAATCTAGCAGTGTTTATTATAATCTGTTCTTTCATTACAGGGATTTCATTAGCAAACTGAGAGGCAGGCTTCATTCTAAATCCTCATTACAATCCTATATATTGGTATATAAAAGAATGAAGAACAGTTTGCTACTGTGATTTTTTTTTAATAGCTAGCTTTGACCTCTAGGATTATACTGTATATCAATTATAATATTGCATAAATTAAAACTGTCCACATTTCAATATGTGATGACACCCGAAGTAGGCTCCACAGCCAAAACGTTGTGTTTCTTTTCTTCTATTTTCAGCATGGAATAAACCTTTACTTGTTCCTTAGCAGCCTACGCATGCTGATGCAGCTACCTACTTGAACACATTTCAATATGTAACAACAGTCTGAGGCTACATTGCAACCTTATTTTCACCTGCATGCAAATTCCACATGGTGTGTTTTACCTACAGTTCAAAAGCTGTTTCATTTCTCTTCAAGGCAAGGAAAGGGACAGGTGACAGTATACAGTGGTGACATATGACGTTATTTAATGAATCAGATGGTTACATAGTCAATACTGAAAGTAAAACCTAAAACTGTGTTACCTTAATGGATACAGAGTAGAATAACAGTGTAGATAATGATGTTTCCTAAAAAATTAAGAAAGTTAACGGAGACGTCCAGGATAGTCATGTGGTTCACTAGTAGTTTAAGGGCAAAGAGAGCCTATTACAAAAGAACCCCACAGAGTCATCTTCTACAGTGTAGTAAGATTGCTTTAGACTTCTATGACTTGTGAGAAGATGCATCCCCTGTTTTCTACCACAAACACATCTAAATTTAACGTCCACTGGACTGGTGAATACCTGGATCAAATTCACACATAATATTCTTTGATCCAGGCTAAAAACCAGATCTGTCCCGTGTATGAAATGCACCAAAGATCAGGTTGCTCTCTTATGAACTGCATTGTCTTTCTTGTAGTGTGGTGACCAAAACTGATCACAGTGGTCCAAAATGTTAACTACAGTAGGTAACACTTTTATCCAAAGTGGCCTGCATGTGCACCTATTCATATTGCTATGAATTTAACTGAAGCAATCTGGATGAATTACCTTTTGCAAAACTATAATGCCAACACTCCACCCGCTTCTCCACATTGCTTTCTAACCAGTGCAATTTCTACTTATAATATTCCATTATTTAAAATTCTACACTCTCTTCATTTAAATCTTTTTCCAAGAATGATGTGCATAATTCTTTGAACAGTTGTACCTTAAGTTTTAAAGCTATTCTAATGTCACTTTGAAAGGGTATTTAAGTTCAAGCATGCAAGGGGGTAGGCCAGTCAGTCGCCTCTCACCATCTGCTGGATGATGCGTGGGGGGTGTGGCTGAGGGAGGGGTGGGGGCTGCTGGTAGTTGTGAATAGGCTGCTGTTGGGGGTCGGTGCCCTGTCGGTACCTGGTCTTCGTCCCTCCCCAGGTGTGTGGACGGTTCAGCTCCTCCAGCATGTGCTGCTCCTATGGCAAAGTACATAAGACACACACAAAGAGGAGCACCTGAGTCCTGCTTTTCTAAAGCTGATAAAGTCTTAATTCATAAATGAGGGCAGAGCCAGCCCTATGATTGTAAAAGAGCATTGACCTGCAAACCTGTAAACTTAAAAGGTAAGTCAAAAGTAAGGTCTAAAACATGAACATGCTTCACATTAATGTACTCCAAATAGTAACAGTCTGTTAAAAAAGCATTCCTCTTCTAAACATTACTAAACAAATTCCCCTGTATTTTTGTTGATAACTGATAATACAAGTTTCCCTCCAAGGCTATAAAGTCAAGACTGATAAAAAAAATACTAATATTTTCTCAAAGTATTGCTTTTTTGGTTTCTTCTAGTTTAGAATTTACTTGCAATTTCAGTTGTGAAGGTGCTGGAAGCTTAACTTTCAGCCCTCAGAAAGCTTAGCATAAATGAACGTTGTGTTGGTTAAGTTGCTAAGCAACAATGGCCATGAACTGGTTTCTTCAACTGGTTTCACAGAGAGGTTTAAGGGAATGCTTCAAATATTTAAATGTTACGTCAAGATAAGTAGTGCAATTTGCTTTCATAATTGACAGCAGGTTTATGAATAATAATAATTATTATTATAATACTTGCTTATACTCAGTAGATTTGTGATTTGTGATTTGTGATTTATTAAATTAGCATTGCTGTGTTTATATGCACCATTCAATACATCTCTGTAAGCTTTTGGGGAAATTTTCCTAAACAGGGAAGTATACTTATCAGAAGTGTCATGGACAAGACCAACTGTGAGGTGGGTGTGGGTGCATAACAACCTGTGCTTGTGTATTACAGTGGTGACAC